ATAACAATAAACATTCCATGTTATTTGTAAATAGGAAGTTTTATTTCTTCCTATGTCACTGTCATTCCCTTTATTTCCTTTTCTTGCCTTATTTCAGTGGCTAGAATATTAGATAAGAATGGTGAGAATGGAAGAACAGGTATCCAAGGACAAAGCAATGTCTTTCACCATTATGTATATTGTCAATTGTAACCATTTTATAAATGGTCTTGGTAATGTTAAGGACATTCTCTATTTTTGTTTTTCTGAGTTTTTTTAAAATCAAGAATGGACACTAAAATTTATGAAATATGTTTTCTGCTTTAATTGATATGTGATTTTTTTGAGTGGTACTAGAACTTGAACTCAGGGCTTATACTTATTAGGTTGACACTGTACCACTTGAGCCACACCTCCATCCCTGGTTGTTTGTTTCTAATTTCTTTTTTTTTGGGTCCGGTCATGGGTCCTGAACTCTGGGCCTGGGTGCTGTCCCTCAGCTCTTCAGCTCAAGGCCAGCACTCTACCACTTGAGCCACAGCACCACTTCCGGCTTTTTTCTTCTTGCTTATGTGGTGCTGAGAAATTGAACCCAGGGCCTCATGCATGCAAGGCAAGTGCTCTACCACTGACCCACCTTCCCACCCCTCTTTCTAATTTTTGAGATAGGGGTCAGCAGACTTTTCTCTCTTGGCTGGTCTTAAACCCTGGTCCTTCTACCCTCAGCCCCTTGAATAGCTGGAGTTACAGGCACTGGCTCTTGGCTTCATGCAATGTTTTCCCTTTGGTCTGTTAATATGGTAGATTACATAGATTTTCAAATATTTAACCAGCTTTATATCCCTAGAATAAATACCACCTGGTCATAGTGTATAATCCTTTTTGCATACTTCTGGTAGCTAATATTTTGTTAAGGATTTCTGCATGTTTTCATTAATCTGCAGTTTTTTTTAAAAAATTGGTATTTTCTTTATATAGTTTTGGTATCAAGGTAAAAGAAGCCATAAAATTTATCCCCAACTGTTTCGTTTTATAAAAAAGATGGTGTAGAATTAGTTAATGCTTTTTTAATGTTTGCTGGTCCTGGGGCTTGAACTCTGGGCTTTGCCCCTGAGCTTGAGCTTCTTTTTGTACAAGGCTGGTTCTCTACCACTTGAGCCACAGTGCCACTTCTGACTTTTTCAGAGTAGTTTATTAGAGATAAGAATCTCAGGGACTTTCCTGTCCAGGCTGGTTTTGAACCACGATCCTCAGATCTCAGCCTTCTGAGTAGCTAGGATTACAGGTGTGAGCCCTAGCGCTGGGATTTCTTTTTTTAGGAGCATATTTTTGGTTCATTCTGTTCTGGTTTTAAAGTTAGGAGTTCAGTTTCTTTTATAATTATAGGGCTATTAAAATCATCTATGCCATAAACCAGGAGCTGTAATAGTTGGCAATGTGAGTAGTGGGTCCATTTTCTTTAAGCTGTCAAATATGTGTGCAGAGAGTTGTTCATTGTGTTTTCCTTTATACCCTTTTGCTCTCTTCAGGGCCTACGGTTATGTTCCATTTCATTTCTGATATTGGAAATTTGTGTCTTCTTTTTGCTTTGTGAATCTTGCTAAAGATGTGTCAGTTTTTTGATACTTTTAAAGAACCAGCTCATTGCTTTATTTATTTCCATACTTTGTATTTTTATTTTCATAATTCTTTATCTTTACATTTTCATTCTTCTGTTTCCTTTGGATTTATTATTATATTTGGATTTATTCTTTTTTGTCTTAAATTCTGGGGGTGGGAGCCTGGATTACTAACAATGCTATTTTTTTCCACTTTTGATACATACATTTAAAAAACCTGTTCTTATCTGTGTTCCATGAGTCTTGATTTTCTCCCTCATTTTCCTTCATATACTGTAATTTTTTAGTTTTCTTGTACCTATGGATTATTTAGAAGTGTGTTTAAACTTCTAAGTGTTTTGCACTTTCCTGTTTTCTTTCTGTTAGTAATTTTTTATTTAACTTAAAGTAGACCATACTCTGAACCATAAAATGGGAACAAATTTAAGAGACTAAAATAATACAGTGTGTTTTCTGTTTCTTTATAACTGAGAATATGTTCTATGTTGGTATATTTAGTGGGTACTTGAGATAAGTGTGTATTTGCTCTTTCTGGGCACAGTATTCCATAAATATCTATTGGAGTGATTGATGATGTAGTTGAGCTCTTCTATATCCTTGTTGAATATCTGTGTGGTTGTTCTGTCAGTTGTTGAAAGAGCAATGTTGATGTCTTCCAGTGTATTTATGAACTTATATCTACATTCCTTACAATATATGAGCTTGGTTAAGTCAGTTTTTGCTTCACATATTTCCAATCTTTTGCTGAATACATATATATTTAGGACGTCTGTTTGTAGAAAAACCTTTTATTGTTATATACATTTTCATCTTTGGTGATTTCCTTTCTGTGAGCTGTGCTTTATCTAATATTAATGTAGCCACTCTAGCTTTCCTTTGATTAATGTTTGCTTGGTAAAACTTCTATCCTTTCACTTGCAGCCTGCCTCTATCATTATAATGAAGGGAGTTGTTTTATATGCAGCATTTAATTGAATCAGTTTTAATCCACACTGCCAATTTCTCTATATTAATTGAAATATTTATGTCACTTACAGTATGTGTGATTATAGGTGTGTTAGAGCTTAAGTCTGCTGTTTTATTTTTGTTTTCTGTCTCTTTTTCTTTGTCTTCTGTCTCTTTTTCTTTTTACATTTATCTGCTTTCTTGTGAGTTATTTGAACAAGCTTTAGAGTTTTGTTTTATCTATAGTTCTAAAATACATTTCTAGTTATAGCCTTTTAAATCAGTTACTCTAGTTACTACATTGCATATACAGAAAGAAAAAAACAAGTTGTGTTCTTATCTAGGGGTTCATTTTTGTCTGTCGTGGCGGCTTGAACTCTGGGCTTGGGTGCTGTCCCTGTGCTCTTCAACTGAAGGCAAGCATTGTACTGTTGAGCCACAGCACCACTTCTGGTTTTCTAGTGGTTTATTGGAGATCAGAGTTTCATGGACTTTCCTGCCTGTGCTGGCTTTGAACCATGATCCTCAGATCTCAGCCTCCTGAGTAGCTAGGATTACAGGAGTGAGCCACTGGTACCTGGCTTGCTGTAGCCATTTTTTAAGGGTAGATGTTGTAACAGATTTTTTAGTTTTTGTTTATCATAAATGTCTTTATTCCCTTTTCATTTCCTGAAGACATTTTAATTGGCTGTAGGATTCTAAGTTGACAATTCCTTCAGTGCTTGAAAAGTACTGTGCTTCCTCTTTCTTGCCTCCATGGTTTCTGATATGAAAGCTGCTGTCATAGTAATCATTTGGGAAAAGCTTATAGCTTCTACTTTTAGAAGTTTAATTATGATGTGTCTTAGTGTTGTGTTTTATTAGTCTTTACTTCAGATTTACTCAGGTTCTTGAAATAAACAATCATTAAGTTTATAGATAAACCTTGAAAGTTTTCAACTATTATTTCTTCAAATACTTCTTTAAAATTTTGGTCTTGCCCTCTGTTACCTCCTTCAGGACATAAAGTGATCTTAGTGATCCCAGTGAATCAGTGATGTTACATCTTTTGTTGTAAGGCTTCGCTCATTAATTTTAGTATATTTTCTGTATCATTCAGACTGTGTAACTTCTATTATCTATCTTCCAGTATACTGATTGTTTATCCTCTCTCACTTCCATTTCGTGTGCTGCAGCCATTGCTGAGGATTTTTTTTAATTCTTTTGTTTTTGTTCATGTTTTTTTCTTTAGTTATTGCTGTTTTCTATTTTAAAATTTGTAGTTTATTTTAATACCTTCCCTTTGCTGACTTATTATTTGCTTGAAGAATGTTCATAACTATTGAAGCACTGATATCAAAATGCTTTGAAATCTTTGTCAGATGTCTTTATTACTGTCAGCCTTCTTGGTGTTAGTGTGTTCTTTCTCCAACCTCTCTAAATCTCCCTAAGTGACCCAGGCTAGCCTAGAACTCAAAATCCTGCTTCAGCTTTCCATGGTATCGATCTATTAGTTTTCTTTTTTTTTTCTTTCATTCCGCTGGAGATTGTTCTGTTCTTAGTTTGATGAGTGATTGTTATTGAAACTTGAATGTGTTGATATCATGTTTTCAGAGTCTGAATCTTGTTCAAATTGTATGCTTTAACTGGCTTTTCTGACACTGTTCAGGCAGGGAAAGGGACTTGTTCCTGTCACCTTGAAGTAGAAGTCCAGGTTCCCACTTGATACCCATTGGTATGCAGCAGTATGGATTTTTGCTACCACTGGAGAGGGCTAGAATCTGTCTCCATGTGGTCTCCTCAGGGCAGTGTGGCTTGCTGCTTGCTCATGGCGATGAAGATCCCAGCTCTTACTCAGCCTCTCTGACACCACCCCAGCAGATGTATTGGGGTACCTCAGTTTAGTCCTCCGGGGCTTCCTGTTCAAGTCTAGGCTTCCCTTCAGCCTTTGTCGACATCCGTAAGGTTGGTCCGCAGTTCTTTCTGTGATATTTGGTTGGAGTATCACAGTTAATTGTCTTAATCTTTTCTGTCCTTTTCTTGGTCTTTGGCTACAAAGTGCAGATGTATATTGGAGGGTGTTTTGTTGTTCTTGTTGTGTTGCGCTCTCCCTTCCCTCCCCCCATATCTATTGGTATTTGCAGGGTGCCCTCTTCTTCAGCTCAAAGTCTAGGATACATGAGGCAAAAGGAAAACCCAGGAAACCCTCTGTCCTCCCAGGGTCTCAAGTTCCTCCCAGACCTTTACTATCCTTTCTCCTCCTTCCAGACTGTCTTACTTTTTGCTGGTGTTTGTAAGTGTCCAGGGATTTTAGTTGTACTTTGGAGAAAGAATAAAAAGTACATCTAGTCTGCCTTTCCAGAAGCAGACATAGCTGTGAACCTTAAGTTCTGAATCCCAAAGAGGTCAAATAATAACTAAGACAAGAAAGTGATTTCAGAGTATAACTGTTTTCTCCGTCTGTGAATTAATTCATAGGCATCCTCAAAAGATGTTGTCAGACAACTATGTCAAGAGAGCTTTTCCATTTCGGCCGTTGACTCAAAAAATCTCTTGGATATTACGTGTTCCAGCTTGTCTGTGACCCAGGAGGAGGCAAAGCAAGTAAGTATTGTCGGAAGGGACCTTTGACCACTGGCCATTGTCACTTGTTCATCTCTTCCCAGTCACTGCTTCCTTACTATTTGCAAACATCTGCAAACAGAAACATTTGCAGCAAATTTCAGGTGAACTTTCTAAAAACAGAATCAGAGCTCTTGACTGTCTTCTTTTCAGACTTACTACCTGACCATGCGGACAAAAGCCAACTTTTTTGGACTTTTCTTTTCCAGCTTGAATTTGCAGAGGCTGATGCATTGCCAGCTGAGGCAGACTTTCCCAGCATCTTTGGGGGTGATGTATAGAGGTCTGAGTAGCACCAGGGAGAGCATGCTGCTGGGTTCCATCAGCCTCCCTCAGGATGCATTGTGTGCCATACTCCCTCCTCATCCTCTGCCCCAATCAAGTCTCCTGCTCAACAGCACAGCTCTCTTCCCAGGGGAAGAGTTAAGGTGACCCTGGAGAAGTTATAAAGCCGTGACTGCCTTATCTTCCCAGGGCTGCTATGCTTCTAGGACAGGAGTATTTTCATCCAAATGAGCCTCTGTTGCTGTTTTGATTTGTTTTGCTTTGTTGAGTTTTTGCATTTTCCTGTGTCAATACTAGGGATTGAATTCAGGGCCTGGGCACTATCCCTAGTTTTTTTCACTCAAGGCTGGCACTCTACCACTTGAACCATGGCCTTTTGCTGGTTAATTGCAGGTAAGCGTCACAGGCTTTCTTGCCTAAGCTGACTGTGAATCACAGTGTTCAGATCCCAGCTTTCCTGAGTAGCTAGGATTACAGGCGTGAGCCATGGGCATCCAGCTTAAAATGTTTAATTTAGAGCTGTGCTCATTGAAATCACTATAGAAAAGTAAGAGAGCTAGCACAGCACTCACCTAGCTAGTGCCTAAATTTAAACTGAAGTACTGCCAAAAAAAAAAAGAAAAGACAGCAGTAAGAATATAGAAGTGAATTGTAGAGTTAGTTTGGGTTCCCTTAAAAGTGAATATGACTTGAGGACTTGGTATAGCATAGTATGTAGGAGGAGGTGGAGGAAATCAAGCAGGAAAGAAGACAATCACAAACATTTACCATTGTAGCACTAATTTCAACCCTCACTGGGGGAGGGTGAATTTCCCCCTACTTTTGGGTTATGTCAATATGGAGTTATTCAACCTCCAGTGGTAACAGAAGGAGCCTCCAAACAGTCACTTCCAGAGAGTTTTCTCTTTTTTTTTTCTTAGTCATGGAGTTTGAACTCAAGGCTTGGGTGCTATCCCTGAGCTCTTTTGCTCAAGGCTAGCTATGTACCACTTTGAGATATGGCTCCACTTCCAGTTTTCTGGTGGTTAATTGGAGATAAGAGTCTCCAGGACAAGCCGGGCGCTGGTGGCTCACACCTGTAATCCTAGCTACTCAGGAGGCTGAGATCTGAGGATCGCGGTTCAAAGCCAGCTTGGGCAAGAGAGACCGTGAGACTCCTATCTCCAATAAACCACCAGAAAATGGGAAGTGGCGCTGTAGCTCAAGTGGTAGAGCACTCGCCTTGAGCTGAAGAGCTGAGGGACACCGCCCAAGCCCAGAGTTCAAGCCCCACGACCGACAAAAAAAAAAAAGTCTCCAGGACTTTCCTGCCTGGGCCGGCTTCTAATTGTGATCCTCAGCCTCCTGAGTAGCTAGGATTATAAGCGTGAGCCACGAGGGCCCAGCTTCCAGGATTTTCTTAGATTCAGCTAACCATCATTATATTCACAAATCATCTGTAAGCCACACCTGGTGACAGATCCACATTGAAGGACACAGTAGAGAGTAGGCCAAGGATGTGCATGATGGTAGGAGACTTTCCCAGTGTACACAAAGCTACACATAGCAGGGCAAAGTCCAGCATTCTTCTTCACTGATGGCTGGCCAGGAACTGTTTGTTTTCTCTGCCTTCCCAGATGACAGCTTAAGGGCAAGGACATGAAACTTAACTACCTTGGATTCAAAGCCCAGACACTACAGGAACCAATATGTCTTGTCACAATTCAGTAAGCACAGTGTCAGACCCTTGCAAGGAGCCTGCAGCACCACTCAGGGAAGCCCGACACTATGGGCCCCAGATGTTTACTCAGCCCTCTCAGTCCAAAGGCACTGGACCAATGCAGGGTTGCCTAGTAACCCAGTTGCCTTTCTACTTCTCTCCGGTTACCAAGGAAACAGCTCTAGAAAGTTAAGTGAAGGTCAGATGCTCCCACAGAGGGAAGAGGATGTATTAACTCTTTGTCCACAAGTAGAGTTTCTGTCTAGCAGACAGTGAGTCCTCACTCCTGTGATGCGTACAAGTGGGACAGAGTTTAGAGCCTAGTCCTGCCCCTTACCCTGTGCTCCTTCCCTTGCTCCCTGCCCCTTCTTTTCCTGCCACTACAGCATGGTCCCCTCTACCCCACAGTTACTCCAGGCTCTGCATCACCTCACTAGGCTGGTGACATTCCGTGACCTGTCATCCTCTGAAGCAATCCTGGCTCTCTTTCCAGAAAATTTCCACCAAAACCTCAAAAACCTGCTGACAAAAATCATCCTAGAACGTGTGTAAGTGATCATTTTTTGAGAGTTCCTTCTAATTTTTCTATTTATAACTTTTATTCTTGTTATAGAATTTTTTTCATTGTTGAAATTTAGAAGAAAAGAAAATGAGATGCCTATAATCCTATCATCCAGTAGTTATCAGTATTAATTCCTTAACAGATAGCCTTTTAGAACTTATTTACTGTTTCTCATTTATACATAGATGAAGAGGGTGATTTTTTTAGCAAAAAATAATAATTTGCTTATTTTTCAGTAAACAGTATAAATATTAATGACATGTCAATAAAGTCTTTACCTTCAGTATCATTTTTGATGGCTGAAATATATTCCATTATACAAAAAAAATTCGGTATAAATTTTTAAAAAAAATTTTTTTTGGTCGGTTGTGGGGCTTGAACTCTGGGCTTGGGTGCTCCCTGCGCTCTTCAGCTCAAAGTGAACGCTTTGCATCTTGAGCCACAGTGCCATTTCTGGTTTTCTAGTGGCTTATTGGAGATAAGAGTCTCAGGGACTTTCCTGCCTGGGCTGGCTTTGAACCATGATCCTCAGATCTTGGCCTCCTGAGTAGCTAGGATTATAGGCGTGAGCCACTGGTGCCCAGCTAAATTTTAAAATTCTTTACTATTAAACATGAATATTGGCAGTTTTCTACTTAGGTGAGAAATTTATGTTGCTCATATAATCTATATGCTCATGTATTTAATTATGTCCTTCTGGGGTTCAAGGGTTCTAACGCTGTGTATTATCAAACTGGCCACCAGAGAGACTTTTTCCCAATGCTTTTTCCCTCAGCAGGATGCAATGTGCTCTTCCTGTCTCTTCCCTTTTTCTTTTTCTTACATTTTTTTCCCCAGCTCCACAAATGGAAAATGGTACCTCATTTCCACTTAGGCATGTTAAGTATCTTCTTCTTGTGTTGAGTATCTTCTTCCTATATTTGTTGAGTATTCATTTATTTATTAATTTTTTGTGACTTGTCTATCTTTTGAGCTAGGCAGATCCTTTAAACAATAAACAAAAGCTTAAGTAGAATTGATTTTTGTTTGCCAGAAGGCTTGAGCCGGCCTCCCTAAAAGCAATAAAGATTATGCCCTTACCAAGGATGTGTTGTTTGTTTAGATCTTTCCTACATAAGACCACGTTTTACTCTGACTCTGTCTGACACCTCATTATGGTGCTGAGTGCTGTACCATTAGCCTCGTCTGTTTGTGTGCAGTCCTCCATGTGGTAGGTGCCCAAGAAAGAAGATATGAGTTGACCTTTTGTCTGTTTTGTCTTTGCACAATAAGATCACAAAGTATTAAGCCTTTTTTTCTGTTCTTTGTCGACCTAAGCTATGAAGCTAACTGACAGCACTTATGTATGGTTTTAATGTCACTAAGCAGTAGTAAAACAAAAACAAAATTGCTTTTCTGAGGTAGAAGGTCAGGTCCAAGGGCCTCTGTCATCAGAAAATTCACCCTCCATTCCTTTTCCATTAATGTTTCCTCCTCTTTCCCTCTTAAACAGGTCTTCATGGAGAACAGAAGCGCAAGCAAATCAGAGTGAGTACTGAGATAGTGCTGAGTACTGCCTCTCTTCGCCCTACACCAAGGCCTGCCCTGAATCCATGACTAGATACCTGAACCAAAAATCACAGGCCCCCACTGAACTCTGTGTGTTGGGTTTACTCTCTTTAATTGAACTATTAAATTTTTTCCTGATTATAAAAACATATTGTAAAAAAACAGAGGAAATATCCAAAGCAGAAAGTGAAGTTCTTAAAATAATTGTATTTCATTGAGAAAAAGCTAACAGTAATTGTACTGGAATGGAATGAAAAGTTGGAATGAAAGTGTGTTCAATACCCGGTCACTACACTGACCCTGAGCTAGGCCTAGTCCTGGAGCCTTTGGTCTGCCCTTGCTCATTTAGTCGTCCAGTAACCCTGAGAGCCAGGTTGAACAGGCTAGGCAAGTGGTGGAACCACCATTCAAAACAAATCTCTTCATTTTTAAGACAAGTATTTTAGATTTCAGAATTATTTGTAATGGCTCAAGGTGAAATGCATTCCACTGCATGAAAGAATTGGGTATTGCCGAGACCAGGGCTTCCCTCTACCTATGCCTCTTCTCATTCCATCCTGACATCTGGAGGCTTGGGTGTTTGAGCAGAGAAGCCTGGAGACACTATGAGTCAGTACTAAGGTCAGGTGACACAGAGCAATAGATAAGGCCCATGACTTGCTCAGGGTCTTGGGCTCCATCTGTCTCTTTCAAAGCTTTACTGTGTAAATCAAATACATTGTATGTGTCTAGCCCTTGGCATCACCTGTCCCAAAATTAAGGCCCAGTAAGTATGGGTGGCATGAGCTGTTGGCTAAGCTGTTGGCTAACCTTCACAGTTTCTCTGCCACGCCTTGTTGACCTGGATTGGAGAGTGGATATCAAAACCTCCTCAGACAGCATCAGTCGCATGGCTGTTCCTACCTGCCTACTCCAGATGAAGGTACGTCCACTGCTATCCTCCTTGGAGCCACATGGGAGCAGTAGGGAGTTGGCACCTCTTTGCCATCTAAAATCCAGCCACTAGGCCTGAGGTTTGGTTCAAGTGGTAGAGCACTAGCCACTCAAGTTAGCTTAGCAACAGCCAGGCCCTACTACTGGCAAAAGCAAAACTCAACCAAAGTTCTAGAATCATTAGCCCTATGAGTTAAAAAAATTTTTAATGTATCCCAAAATGCACACACTTGTACACAAAGTATACATGGACTACCATACCATATTCACACATCATGGTCATAGTACCAGATAGACTGAAGTTTAAAAACAATGAGACAAGTGTAGAACATGATAGTTTTTACATTATTTGTTTTTTGTTTTTTTTTGTCGGTCGTGGGGCTTGAACTCTGGGCCTGGGCGCTGTCCCTCAGCTCTTCAGCTCAAGGCGAGTGCTTTACCACTTGAGCTACAGCACCACTTCCGGTTTTCTGGTGGTTTATTGGAGATAGGAGTCTCACAGTCTTTCCTGCCCGGGCTGGCTTTAAACCGCGATCCTCAGATCTCAGCCTCCTGAGTAGCTAGGATTACAGGTGTGAGCCACCAGTGCCCGGCTTTTACATTATTTGTTGATACCTAAAGATGCTCACTTTGTTGAAAGATTAGCTTCAAAAACAGGCATGTGCATTCAGATTCCAAATAGCCTTATAGCTCATTTCTATGGCTTTGATCAGCTTCTACCCCGTAGTAACAGCATGTCACTGTGTGCAGTTCAGCTGATCAAGCTTCTGTTAGCATTTTTCTTTTTAAAAATTTTGCTTTAGGGGCTGGGAAGGTGGCTCAGTGGTAGAGCGCTTGCCTTGCAAGCCTGAGGCCCTGGGTTCGATTC